CGAATTCGCCTTTGCCTATATTGACGACGTCATTATTGCATCAGCAAACGAGGAAGAGCACAGGCAACACTTGCAACAAGTATTCGAACGATTCAGAAAACATGGTTTAATAATAAACGTATCAAAATGCGTTTTTGCTCAAAACACAGTAAAATTTCTTGGTTATCTCATCAGTGAAAAGGGCATTCAACCTCTACCAGATCGAGTGAAGAGCATCAGCGAGTACCCGCTTCCAACAAAAACAAAAGAATTAAGAAGATTTCTAGCATTACTTAACTTTTATCGCAGGTTCGTACCAAACGCTGTAGATTCTCAAACTGCACTTCAACAAATGATAAAAGGAAACAAGAAGAACGACAACACACCGTTATGCTGGACCGAAGTGAACAAAACAATCTTCCAAAAATGTAAAGATGAACTAACAAACTCGACACTACTTGTTCATCCGTCAAAAACTGCTACGCTTGCATTACAAGTAGACGCCTCGGATAAAGCTCTCGGCGCAGTTCTTCATCAAGTGACAGACAGCACGTTCCAACCACTCGGTTTTTTCTCTAAACGATTAACAGATACACAAAAACGATACAGCACATACGATCGTGAGTTGTTAGCCGCATATCAGGGCATAAAACATTTTCGACATATGTTAGAAGGTCGTGAATTCGTATTAATAACTGACCACAAGCCACTCACGTTCGCATTCCAGCAAAAGTCCGACAAGGCTTCACCACGTCAAGTCCGACAGCTTGATTATATAGGTCAATTTACAACGAATATCGTTCATGTCAGCGGAAAAGACAACATCCCAGCAGATTTTCTCTCGCGGATAGATAGTATTAGCATCCCAAAAATCGACTACGATTGTATAATTGGATTACAACGATGTTGCCCACAACTACAAGATATCAAAAACAACAATTCCATCGAAATCAAACTTTTATCTTTACCAACAATATCAGATAAAATTTATTGCGAAGTTTCAACTGGGCGAATTCGTCCTTACATTCCGCAGAAATACCGGCTACATATCTTTAAAGCTACGCATGGGTTGTCTCATCCCAGCATTCGGGGCACAACAAAAATGATAGCTGAAAAATTTTTCTGGCCTTCTATAAATGCTGATATCAGAAACTGGACCCGACAATGTATCCCATGCCAACGTTCTAAAGTGCAACGTCACAACCGTTCACCTATTTGTCAATATGAACTCGCTGAACACAGATTCGAACATATAAACATAGATATCGTCGGCCCGCTACCACCATCAAACAACTGCACATATATATTAACCATCATCGACCGTTTCAGCCGATGGCCAGAAGCAATTCCGATCCCAGATCAAACAGCGGAAACCATCGCAAACGCACTGATTACTCAATGGATCGCACGTTTTGGCGTACCCTTACGTATCACAACAGACCAAGGAAGACAATTTGAATCTTCATTGTTCAACCAACTAGCTGAAGTTATCGGTTGCAAACACTTACGAACTACGAGTTACCATCCTCAAAGTAACGGAATGGTGGAACGATTTCACCGCACATTAAAAGCAGCCTTAATGTGCCACCAAACAACTTCTTGGACAGAAGTTTTACCAATAGTATTGTTAGGTCTACGCACGACTTTTAAACCAGACATTGGAGCTTCTGCTGCTGAAATGCTATATGGCCAAACTCTACGTTTACCGGGCGAAATAGTAAGCAACCCTAGCCACAGAAATATAAATCAACACGATTTCATAACCAAGCTAAGAGAACAAATGCAGAGCGTCAAGGCAACGTTGGTATCGCATCATATAGATCGAGGCTACCACATCCAACCGGCTCTAAGCTCAGCCACGCATGTATTTATACGAAATGACAAGGTAAAACCACCATTGACGCAACCTTACGATGGTCCTTACCAAATACTAGAGCGAAATGACAAGACGTTTAGAATACTGATCGAAAACAAAGAACAAACAGTTAGCATAGATCGTCTTAAAGCTGCTTTCATATGTCCCGATACAGACATTGACATCCACAACAAATCAATGGTATACCACACTCCAAACAACGTTAATGGCGACCAGTCTGTGCGACCAAATACAACAGCTAACCTGACAAAATCAGGACGCAACGTTCGCTTTCCAACCAAATTTAGTGACTCCATCACTTAGGGGGGAGTACTGTGGCAGCACCAAAAAATATAAATAAAAGAACTGTCAACAAGGCACAAAGGAGACAACAATATCCGCAGTTCCCGCCAGTAGTAGTTTGGAAAAAGAAAAAGCAGCACGTGAATAAGACGTAAAAACATAAATCTTAACTTTAAGAATATTTTATAATAACTAAGTATAAGAAATAAATAAACTTATCCATTACCAATACGGAGTGTTAAATTAACTTATCCATTACCAATACGGAGTGTTAAATTCGAAATAAACCCCAACATAAAAAACCACTACACGCCAAAGGATTTAAAATAATAAAAATATATATTGGAAGGATAATTTTGTTTCCCTACTAGGTGCCCAGAGGCGAACCATCCAAGAATCCAAGAAGTTCATCAAGGGTCTACGGCATTTAGCTACCGAATCCACGGCAGTCGTTCCAAAACATTTACGAAGTGGGTTCACAGGGTTCACGACGAACAACATCTACAAACATCTTTGAGGAAAATATCTAACAATAGCAACACATATTTTAAATTTTTTATGCATCACATATTATTTCTTTGTTCATTTGCTAGGCTTCATTCTCTATTTTCACCGTTATTTAAATAACGAATAAATAAAGTTAAAAATAAAACTGGAAAAAAATATCTTTCTTTTTCGAAACTCGTCCCCGCGAATATAAATTTATTGTGTCGACTCTGGACAACGGCTGAGGATACCCCAGCGAAACAGTTTTTTTTAACGCACCAAAAAGTGTCGTTACAATACTCAAACGGTTATAGTTAGACAAATAAGTAAATATAGAATAAACATGTTTATAATAAATTTAATATTAAAAACATAGCATCTTAAAATACGTAAATACAGTAGTTGTAAAGCATATAAAAAAATAATACTGATAGTATTTCTTATTATTATTTGCACAGTACTGAATATTAATACACGAATACGAAAACTTGCCAAAGAAATATTTCATATTTCAAATATTTCACAGATTGTAGTACAACAAATAATAACAATTGCATTCTTATCTTCCTTCATCATCGATTGCTGGATATTTGTATAACATTTGTCTAACACAATGTCTCACCATCTACAAAACATTAATTTATTAATTATATGCACTAATATTTTTAAATCATAATTATTATTATATTCTTACTTTATTATTATTTCAAAAAAATTTATAATTAAATCACTTTGATCATTTTTTTCTTTATACTTTTTCTAGTATTAGGCTCAAATTAGTTTTACTACTTTTTAACAATCAATTGCGCGGCAATTTTTTTTTTTAAATATTGCGCAATGTAATCAAATTTTTTGTTAAGAAATCAAATCAGAGAACCAAAATTATGCTACCTGTTGCACTCATTGCCCATAAAATTTTTCTTAAGAGTAACTTAAGGTTCGTATTCGGAGCAGAGTGCGTTTGTTATTTTGTGTTGTGCTCATTTAAGTTTCCGTTCTACATAAAATCTTCTTTGATATGAACGTTCAATCATTTATATAAATGAGCAAGTGCCTAAGGGCCATGTTATGCAGAGTTTCTCGGGCATGGCATGAGTACAATTGTTGTTGTTTTCAATGCAAATTTTAAATTTGATAGTGAGAAAAAACAATATGGCATGAGAGCCGTCGTATATGTGCCCCGGCACTAAGGCGAAACAGTGTTGTTTAGTAATAAATTTCAGAATTTGCGCCTTTTAGGAGTAAATTACTCCAATTTCAACACGTTTTGGAAAAGGAATGGCAGTAAGCAACACAGCTTATTTTATAAACTGCTAATAATTTAGTATTATACTTCCAGATTTTAAGGAAAGGCTTATAAATTTGGTAATACTGTTAAGAATTATTATAAGAAAATATAAAAATAATAAATTAACATTATTACAGTTTTTTCTTGCTGGTTATTTTTAGTGGCAAATTGAAAGTGAGCATATCTACATTTTCTTTTAAATTTAGGCACAATCAAAAAGCACCAAAACACTATAAAAATACAAAATTGGCAATACTGATGTGATACATAACATGCATTTTCGGTATAGCCCGAAAGAGCGAATTTTGCTCTGCCCGAAACACTTTGCATAACATGGCCCTAAATGAAAGTTTGAATGTACTTTTACACTCTTGCAAAATTTTTTAACTTTTAATTTGACTAAAACTTTTATAAAACTAAGATAAAACTTAGAATTATGATTTGATGTGTGAACAAGTTTTTGTCAATAGGGGGTCGAACAAGCGATCTTGATGACGCGATTATTAATTGCAGTTTGCTTTACAAACAATGCCTCAGAAATTAATTAAAATAATATTTAGGAAGTAGAAGTTATTGTAACATTAATTTCATTTATTCTTGAAGGTGTTGCTACATCTAAGCTTTTTTGATTCACTGTACATAAACAATGTTAAAACAGATAATGGCTAAATTAATATAGCAGAGTACATATAAAGCAAGACAACACAACAAAACCGCTATATAACCTATATATAAAAATTGTATAGAAAGTAAAATGCTCAAACTAAAAGAAAATGGAAGCAATGTTTATTAAAAAATATGAAATTTTTTTTATTAACAAATTAATTACTGATACTTTCATAGATTTCGCTTTAAACGCATATTTTACGCGTATACCCTTTTTATTACTTTATAAAAACACCCTTGTTATTACCTTATTATCTTTTTTGCAATGCAAACGCAATGTAAATTATCCGATTCGTAATTTGGTGAAATTAATTTAGGGAAAATACTTGAGTTTGGCTCAGCGGAAATAAATTCGCACAATTTAATGAAGCGCATGTTGGATGACAGACTGTATTGTGGTTAGATGTTATTAAAACTTGACACAGCATCTTGCAATCAGCTGAGGAAATATATATGTTAAAACGCAGTAAATATTGGGTCCAAAATATTTTGGAGTCGAATGTTGCACTATTTCGCAATATTACATTAAAATCGTATTTAATTCGATAAATCTGTTCACATAAATATTGGTTAATTTATTTGAAAAATTATAACTTTGTGACATATACCAGTACGTAATCTTTAGTGTATACATTGAACAGACTTGTTTATTTAGGTTCAATAGACAATTTCTTAAAATGAAAGATAAATTTAAGGATTGCTAATAGTTCACTTTGTAATTGTGATTAGTTAATGTACATAGTCATTATATATTATGGTACTAACAAAGTTTTTGTATGAATAAAGCTTGCATACTAACATAATGAAGTGAGTTATAAGTTTTGTTTACACTCATTTCAATGCACAAGCTGAAGGTATCAAGTAAATACATATCTAAATTATTTAATTTGTTAAAAGTGGTGGTTTCAGACATAAAGATCAAAAATAAAACAGAATTCTCAATATTTTGTTTCAAAAATTAGTATAAAATGACTATTTCATACTGCTATTGATCAGTTTACCTATAATGTTGGAACAGTTGCTTGTATGCATTTTGCGTGCTTTAGCCAGCAGTGCTTTCAAATAAATTTATAAATATTGTAACTAAAAATCAAAATATCAGCAACTCTTAAAATGAATTTACGTATTTATCTATTGAGTTGATAGGTAACTTTGTGTATAAAATATATGTGCAACTATCTAATCTGAAGGACTGTTAATTCTAAATAGGTGCAGAACCTTTAAGTCCTAACATAATTTTTAATGTGATAAAACTTATAAGTGGGTATTTTTTGGTTCTTAAATAGTTTAACTATATAATATATTTAAGGTGTAACATATATGAACTAATATTTTATTTCTTATTAAAGGCGAACTTTTAAAAATGAGTGAACTAGAAGTAAAAGATCAAAATCCAAGTGAAAGGAGGCTACTGACAAACATAAGTGATACTGAGTTTATTAATGATAATGATGACACACCAGGTAATAGTGGTGTAATGATTCATATAGTTCCTGAGACGAACAAAGGTAATAATATATGTTTATAATTCTGAAGTAATAAGATATTTACCAATTCACTTATGTATATTCAACGTATATATATGTATATTAAAAATTAATTTGTTGGAATTCCATGGTTATTATTATTGATTACATGGACTTTTTTATTACATTAATAAAAATACGAAAACGAGTTGCTTCCCCAGTTTATTGTAAATTATAAACTTAATACTTATAGTATTTATGCTGCAGGCGAATTAAATGAACTAAATTAAATTTCCCAAGGGATTTGTAAAGCTCAATGTAAAAATTTTGTAGTTTATGCTTGAAATATTCTAATACAAAGAAAACAATCTGCAAGAAAAACGACATTACCCGAAATAGGAGGTACTGAACTGTGCAAAAGTTTGTGGGTACACGCCTACAAAAATACTCGTTTCTCCACACAATTTTCGCTTCCTTGTAAAATACTATTACAGATGTGCTAATGATTTTTCGTGCTGAATTTTAAATTAAAACGCGCTGAATATATTTTCGACAGCTGTAAGTGTAACAATTTCCATTTACAGTGAAATGAATTCACAAATTGAAAGTATTCGTAAAAAAGGGAATGCTACAATTTATATTAATTAATATGAGGAGAAGAAAAAGGCTTGCATAACAAAAGTTTTATGCAATAATTAATATGTAGATACTTAAAAATATGCAGGCGCCACTTGGATGCAACAAGGAGAGACACAAAATTTCTTTGAAATCTTTGCAAACCATTTTCTTATTTTATACAGATTTCTAAAAGAATTTCTTGTTGAGTTTTTAAACTCGTAATGGAAAATTTAATGCGTCTGAGTTAATTTTTCAGTACGAATTTACGTAAGATTTTTAATAATTTTGCGATTTCTTGCTTCAGGACATAACTAACTTGATCTGGGGTAACACTTTCTGTCCGCATTGTGTCAATATATATCATTAAAATAGTAGACATTTTTAAAGAAATTTCATAATATCACGTATACTTCCCAAAATTCCAAGATGAAAACAACAAAACCAAAGATATTAACCCCGCAAAGCGACATTAAAAGTGAATATTACAATAAAAGAGATAACAATTCAATAAATGTTTTTTTGTCATATTAATTACATGATACTTATGCAAATGCTAAGTTTCATGGAACATCGAACGATATAATTATGTAAATCAGAGCAGTAATAAAGTAACATTTAAAATCTACCTTTATTCAAGGTTTTAAGCTATTTTTATCGTTGTGTAATATTTTCTATTACAACTGTAAATATTACAAAAGCAACACTTGATTTAGTAGAGCATTGTAGTTAAAAAACAAATTACGGTGTCTATTTCATAAAAGGATTCTGCACTATGATCTTGTTAAAGCTGGGAATATTATAATGCATGTATTGTACTTACTGTCATCAAACGACGATTTTGAAAAGGAAATTGCAGAGGAATATGGGTATTGATAAGATTTATTTTACTTTTTACTTTTACAAATAATGTTTACTTGCTACGAGGAAAGACTATATGTCAGCAAATTAGTGTTATAAAATTTTTATTTAAATGTCACGACGAATTATTATATAGATTGTAGATAATTAAGTTTATTATTAAGTAAATATTTTTCTAAAACATATACAAAAATAATAATATAATCCGGTTATTTTTGATTTTTAAAATATATTAACTTTTATTTCGAAAGTTTTTTTTGTGTATCTCTACACGTGTTTCGGCAAGTTCGCTTTTGCCTTCATCAGGGGAATTCCTAATATTAAAACATCTAGCAATCTTACAAACTATTTGTACCATTAACATGTTATTTTTAATGCTAAACTTAATATTAATAAAACCTAAGGTTATTGACTTGGGGGTGACAGGTAAGAAATGGTGGCGGGGTTGGTCTGGTGTTGTTTTTATTTTTACATACAGGTAGTTAGGTCGACTGGTTGTCGGTTTTTTGGGATGTATCTAAAAAGGCACGATGCCTTTGTCGCCGTTGAGTAAAGTTGTGGCCTGATGTTTATGTATTTCGATGCTCTCTGCCGTTTCTAATGTCCAGCTATCCGTTACATTTATGATTATTTGAACATTATCCCTGTTGATGTGGTGATTTTATTTTACTATATGTCTGGCGACATTTGATTTTATGTGGGGGTTCATTTTCTTCGGTGCTTCTCTTGCTTCCTTCAGGTGTTCTTCAAGTCTTACTGATAAGGGTCTTTTGGTTTGTCCGATGTATATTTTGTTGCAGGAGCCACACTCTATTTTGTATACTCCGCATTATTTGAATGTATACTCCGCACTCTACAGATATTTTGATAGAAGAACCACGGTTGCCACTTATGGTACTTTAGTACCAAAATTGGTACTATTTTTTCCGTTTGGTACTCTGGTACTCATGTTCAAAAAATGGTACATTTTCGGCGACCCAACTTTATTGTGGATATTTTCAATTAATTTTTTTTATAAATGTAACTTGTATTGTTTTATACTTTTTGTACATTTTATATAAATTGTATTTTCTTATAAAAAGACAATAGAAAAATTTTGGACCTTTTTTTACAGGAATGGTACCTTTTTAAACCAATTTTGGTACAGAAAAAAATTTTCACGTGGCAACCGTGAGAACACACTATTCACTCTCTCATAAAATTTTGCTTGCACTTCAATTTACACAGTTGAGAGTAAACTCACAGGAGTGTACATTCTATAAAAGTATTCTAATTGTTTTTTCTATGTGAAACCGTTTAACTGATTAATGTTGTTCACGAAAGAAACCAGAACTTTACGAAAGTGAAGGAAAACATTTATAATAATTATAACTTTAGTTTAGTATTTTATATTTTGTCATTCTACATAATTTTAATTTTGTATTTCCGAATATATAAAAATATTCAAAAAGTGTGTTAATATATAAACTCCTCCAACATCAAAATCAATTTTTAAGAACATATTGTAATTACTGTATATGCAAGTAATAATTGTATATGGAAGACATGTGCGCAAAAGGGTCAAGAACGACACCCAAGATTTAAGGTTTGGTGGTGGTGAACATCCTGAATTCACTGATGTTAATGGACAGAGTCATGGATACCTCATTAGTCCAGGATGTAATAAACGATCAGCCAAAAACGATGCCACATAGGGGATGTTTGCATTCAATTTATTATACAGTATAGAAGGGTCTTGGCCCGTAGTGAGACTTGTACAGTCCATGCATATGTTATGACTTCTGGTACGGGTCTGGTAGTTAATACATGTAAAGATTAAAAGGATCAGTTAGAGAGAAAGATCAGTGTCCTTACTTCAATTTACAGGCTGTAGACATCTTATTTCTAAAATCAACAAAGGTTATGAGGTAATTGCAGAGCTATCGTTTTGCGATGTCACGGATGGAGGTTTGGGCTAGATCGTTTAACAATGTGCTATGAGAGACTGTGTCAAATGCGAAATCAAGACCTCGTAGCACCGTGCGTTCGCAAGGGCGACTTAAATTGAGGCCATTTGTGATGTGATCTCGCAGAGAGCGGAAGAGGTGCTATGACGGTTTCGAAATCTGTGCTAAAGGGGAGCTAGGTGAATCTGCGGAGACATCTGCTTGAGCATGAATATTGAAATGCCATCAGGCCCAAGAACTTTCGAACTTTCGAGCCCTTGACTTGCCTCATCGTGTTGTTTACATCATCTTGGAAAAATAGTGTGATGTCGTCGTAATGTGGGTTCTGATAAGCGTGTTTCTGTCTGCGAATAGCAGAGGAGGCAAAATTTCTGGGCGCAATGCTTGGAATCGGAGAAGTAATCCTATTAAAAGTTATCGACTTGTTGTTGGGGTGGGAAGGATTAGATAATGTTTTAATGGTTTTTTTTACAAATAAACAACCCCAAAAGGGGTCAAATAAGCGTATGAACACGTGTCATAATGCAGTTACATGGTTTGCAAATTGACAGTTCTGGTTTATTTGTTTTGAAATTAAAATGGATAGTGACGATGAAATATTTTATTTATTAATTTAAAATAACAAAAGTTAAATTTGGATGCACGATTTAAATCATAAAGTGAAACGTTTGCTGTTCCCCAACCAGAGAAACTATCAAATCCCAATTCATTTTTTAAAAGTTGTATATGCTATCAAATATTTTCCATTTACAAAATTAAAATTACTTTAAAATATCACTCCTTTTAATTTCACTATTTTGTTTTGTTTTTGTTATTTAGTTTTAAGTTAAGGTTTGAATATAGTTCAGGTTTGAAAAAAAATTCATGTTTATCTGAAAATTCCAACTTAAATTTAATAGAATAACTACAGAAAGTTATTATGTAAAGTAATTTTTATTAGAATTTAAGGAATTAAAGCAAATCGAAAAAATAACTTCTTAAATTTATTGTGTATCAATTACTAATTAGATAACTAAATTTATTTGTGAATTGCGTTAATTAAAAGTAAAAAAATTGTTTATATCAAAAGTAATAGAAAAAGTCGGATAAAATAACAGCTAAAATGAAATTAAAAGAAAACTTTGTAAATACTACATCACTAAAATAAACACAATGTAGTGTGCATTAATATAAGTTTACAAAAAATATAATAACAATAATAATAAAACATTTTCGCTTCATAGAGAAAAAGACAATAAAGAAAAATTGCTATACATTACATATTACTAATTAAATTTTATCTTAACACACTGCTATTGACGAAATAAGGGATGCGCGGAAACTGCAAACTGTTCTATTTATCGATAATCAACTGTAATTCTTAGTAAATATATTTTGTAATATTAGCGGATACGGAAGCTCATTATATCGCAATATAATAAGGTTCTAAGTTATATTAAGCAAATAGAAAATTTTGATGGTACTAATATATGTCAGTTAAGGCCATGTTATGTAAAGTGTCTTGGGCACGGCATAATTAAAATTGTTGTTGTTTTCAACGCAAATTATAAAATTGAGAATGCGAGATAAAACCATATGTTGGTTCAAATTTTGGCACTTAGACATAGCAGTGTTGTTCAG